AGGATCTCAATCTATTTTCCAAATGTTTATAAACTAATAAAGACTAAGCATGTACGCATTTAGCACAGATGCATTAAGATCTGGGGAAAACATGGACACAGGTATCCTGGACAGTTTTCTGCATTGAAGCATTTTCCGTAATCTCTTACAAGTGAGGAGAATTAAAAAGAGTGTCTTCCAAAAAGTTACAACAGAAGGAATTTGAACCATTAGACTAAGGATCTAACCTTTTAAGGGCTCGGCTCTATTTGCATACGCAGTCTTAATCCCATGCAAGGACCACCACTTGCGGGCACACCAATACTTCATACGTGGGGGTGCGAAGGACAGAGGAGAAAACCTGGGTGTCCAGTTTATAGAATCTAGCCAATCAGGGTTACCAATGTCTCCCAATCCCCTACTTTTAAATAAGAGAGTTCTAATTAAGGTGATCCTGGAAGCCCAAAGAACAAGTATGAAATGTACAAGCAGCAATGAATTTGGAATACCTATTGGAATCACTGGAACACATTTAGTTGGGCCCTTTACTCTTCCACACAGGACATTCACATGGACAGACTAAGGAAAAGGAGATGAAATTTCAATCAGCATAAATTTTTTTTTTTTGCTTTATTACTTAAAAAAAAAAAAGATAAAGCTGGAACCTCTCGTTGTACTTGACCATGACGCTCCCACTCCCTTCAACTAGACCACTGAAATGTAAGGACACCTTCTATTACTAGCTACCTAAAAAAATTGCTAGTTGCCATTCTAGAAAAGCCCCGCTCCTTCTTCTGAAGTACCAATTTTCCTTCACCTCTCTGTAAGCCTTAATACTTCAAAACGTTTCCGTCACAGGTTGGCCGACCATACTGGCCATCTCGCTGTTCTTGGCCTTTTAATTTTTTTTTCGTTGACCCTAACATGTTGAGTATGCTTCTCAGATGCTTGGCAAGTGCAGAAAATTTCACTGCACAAGTGGATTTTACTTCCGGTGAGCGCCTGGACCCGTAAAGGACTGGCAGGGAAGAGCATGCCATGAACAACAGTTCAGTGTTTATTTAGACAGGTTGGCTCTCTGGCCTATGCAGTCGGAGCTGCGCATGCTCCAGAGAACGTGCTCCGCCACTGGCGGTGCAGCCAAAACGAAGCGAATCTTCCCCAAAGACATTTCTCTGTTTACCTAGACTGTCGTTACCACCTCGCTTTCAACTATAGAATGTAGTTTCTCATACCCACCCATCCAGCTTTAAAACCAACCCCCCCCCCCGCCCCGTTCCTTGTCAAGATGCAAGTATACGTTGAATCCTGGCACGAAAAGGGAGAAAAAATTGTAATATTCCTAGGCAATAATTAAAGTTAAGTACAAACTGAAACACACGGTTAAGGTCCTTGTCCCAATAACCTCCCTAACCAAGTAGCGCCTATCGATGATCTGTTCCCCTACAAGTAACTGCTCTACGATCACAACTGAATGCCCCAGGAGCTACACAATGCCAAGAAATTGTAGTTATTACGGTTTCCATGTGGACGGCACAACGTAACTTCACAAAATACACAGGTGTTAACATTTTTAAAATAACTCCGGTTAACATTAGGACTATAGTTTTTACAATCTACTGAGCCTTACAGACTAAATTAAGTTCCTTGGACCAACTCATCAGCCGTACTCAATCGCCTGTAATTTTAGTCAACCGGTTAGGATGTGACGTCTGTCACTTAATGTACGCGCATGCTGTTGGCCTTCTCCTACGGATCTTAAGTGCTCGTATGGGGTCTCCAGCCGTATGCATGTTGAAATCGACTAAGTATAACCACCAAATAAAGTAGCGTACGTTTTTAGCAACAACAATTGGCTATTAGGTAGGTGATTTCAACTATTCAATATCACATATACAGGATTTAAACTTCGGGGTATTAAGGGACTTGGGGATCCTGGTTTTTCTTTTTGTCTACCCCAACGCACTCAAGAGATATACACTGTGTCAATCAGCACACCTTTAGATCACTTCCATCACAATTCTGAAGGGTTTACCTTAGATAGCAAGGTGAGTAAAAAAGAGGAGGAAGGCTAAGGTCACTCGCTTCAACACGAGCTAGCCACCATAAAGTATTTTTAGTATTTGTCTATCACGTACCTGCAGTGCTGGCACCAGGGGATAAAATACACCGGGCCTCAGAGGAACCTCAAGAAAAACTCAACCACTAACCTGGCTACTACACATACAACCCCCGAGTGTTTTACTGCAGACTTGAAGAAAAGGGCCGAAAATTCAAACCTAAATCCAAACAGAAGGCTCCGCGTAGCAGAAGGGCATTATGGTTTTAGGGAAGTTTATGAAATTAACCATTCGAGTTCGAAGAGGCCGGTTGAACGGGACTAAAACTATTTAGACAGCTAACGCAGTTAGTCTAAATACCAATTTACCATCCCCTTTAACGCCCCGGGCGTAACCATCGTGACCTATTGCCAAGGCCCTTAACGCTACGTATCTTTGCTCTTTACCATTACTGAAACGTTACACCATTTCTCAGAGCCCCAGAAACACCGACGACAAAGTTTAGACTCAAACCATTTTAAATACTTAGGTACGCACGGCTTTAGAAAAGAATGCTGTACTCCTCTTTCCGGAGTAGTTCAAGGAATATTCTGGGGGGTGGGAGTGGCCAATTATTCTCCGCTACATCCACCCACTTTTAAAAAAGACATTTTATACTTACGCGTACAAAGGGAGTCGTGGAAACGGTTTTTAAGGTTACATTACCAGACGCTAAGACTTGGGCTATGAAAGACAGGTTTATGCCTTCCTTAGTAGCTTATTCTGGTTTGGGCTTTTTAAGTACCAGATACATTCCCACAGACCTATAATCAGTTTTTTGTAGGTGACTGAAGTCTACCCCAAGCTTAAAAAGGTATGGGAATACTTCGTTTTTATTTGTGCGACGGGACCTATTATGAAAACGGTCCTAAGGACATACAGCCAATTTATATTAAGCGCACAGAAAAACACACTCATTCCCACAACTGATGCAAGCATTGGATGCAGAACACATTATCTCCATGAATGTAAATTCTCCCGAAGGTGGAAAACATACTTAAGTATTACTTCTCCCAAAAAAATTTTAAGTACTTTGTCAAGGCAAGTAGTCTTCAGGAAGCTTTAATACCTTGTCAGTGCTCAGGACATGGTCCTCATTTTCAGACAGAATCTACCCTGGGCAAGTGTGGGCTTCGGGTTTTGTGGATTTAATGAGGCTTCCTTTGGTCAGACTGACTTCACTCGTGCTGCATTCTAAGACTTCATCTTACTGTCTGGCCAGGAAGGGGCCACAAGTTAGTCCTGACCTCCTAGGTCCGAGCCAGAGACCTCCACGTCAAAGGCCAAACAGGAGCCACAAGACAGAACCTACCAGCAGCAAAGCAAATGCTCTACAGGACAGGAGCTGTTACTTCATTTCTTACAGTGATCCGCCGTCTTTCCTGATTAACCTATTCCTGCGCTCCTCACACCACTGGAGCTCACCAATCTGATCCAACACCTCACTCAGGAGGACAGGACCACCTGCCAAACTTTCTAGGGGAAGTACCACTGAACCAACAGCAATCTCACCGGTGGAGCGGAGACATTTGTTCCCAACTAGGTCTTGTGTTTCTTCAGTTTTGCTCGCCACAGAGGGACAGGCTAGAGGAGGGGCAAGCAGGAGGCCAAGTTTCTCGTTTACAGACCCTACTCTGCCAAATGGCGTTTCTTCTTTTCCACGCTTTTGCTTGCTATCTGATACGCTCCCCCTTCCCAGTTCCTTAAACACGAAAATTATTCCTTTCCAGGCATATTTAGTTCTAATCTTGAGGAGACCGCTGCTGGAAATTTTAACATATTCCTGGACAGTGTTTTTATCTATTCCACTGGTCTTCCCAAACTTCTCTGGACTACCCAAGGAAGAACAGTCTACCCAACAGTATTATTTGGCCATTACTCCCCCACCACGATTCACGTTAGAGTATGAACTCCTCGGGAAGCAGTTTTCAACTAGAAGGTAGATCCGAGATGTTTCAAACGTACCCAGAACACTGATTAGCAACAAAGCTGAAAACAAATTTTTCCCCTGGGTAGGTCTACTATGCAATCCTCGTAATTACAACGTGTACTGATCTAATAGTTAATGCCAGTGGTTGCCAGCACTAAAGCTAACTGCTAAAAAAACAAACCTTGAGACGCTACCTTGTCCCGTTAAGTATTCTCACCGGAATTCCAGGATTAGCCTCCGCTCCCCAAATGTATCAACTTAAACCTACACCACCAGCTAAAACTCCACTCCCGCTCCGCTTGTGGCAGAATTCCTAGGAGTATGAAGAAGTGAAAAATCTGATTGAAGATGGCTAAAACAAAAATCTAAGCAAACAGAAGAAAATACAGACAAACCTCAACTTACCAGAAGCAACCTAAAACACCAACAAAACGCTAGACTGAAGTCAAGTTTTAGTTCTACAGTTTGACTCCTGATTCCTCACTTCACATCAGTGAGGGTCCTTTAGAAGATTAAGTGTTCTGTGCAAACCCAATAGAATTACAATTAGGGGATCTAATGCGGTCACATAGCTACAGTTAAGTTAGCAGTGTTGTGTAGTCGTGAAATCAAGGACTGGTTGTACGATGGCTTCTAAAAGCATCTGTTCCCAGAGTCTCACGTATCAGATATATGCGTATTAAGATATTCTCTTGAGGACAGCCGTTAGCATTTCGTAAAGATGGTAAACTGAGTGTTAACTTCTCCCAGCCAGTACACCTTTTCCCCTCGTTAAATGTTAAAGTCGTCTGGGGGGGGAGGGGAAGGAAGGATTCGACTTTACTTCGTAATTAAAACTCAATTGTCGGTACACATTTAAGTTTTTAAAACCTAAATGTTCGAAGTACGGAGTACAGAATAAGCTGTCCAGAAAGCACACACTTAAATTTCCTCCTCTTGGGAGTTTTATAAAGGGATTTTGAACCTTGATGGCGAGAATCCCAAAACGAGAGTAAAATGAATTCTTTTTATTGCAAACAAAACGTCTAAATTAATTTCTCCACCCACTTTCTTTAGAAAGAAAAAGAAATCAGCAGGCTAAGGAGATACCCATTCAAGAACTGACATGATTAAAAATTAAGATATAAATGGGTGACTCACAATTTCATTAGCTTACAAAGATGGTGGAGTAAAGTACTACAAGCACACTAGTGATACAGTATTTTGTGGGAGAAGGGCATACAGACATAGCTAACTTCATATAGATCCCATTAGACAACTGGATTTACAACAAGTTTTTTTAATAAGAAATGGGCAAAGCCAGCTTTCTTTTCAGAATCAAAATGCAGAACAAATGGAAAAATTATGGTATTGAACCTTCACAAGTTTGAGCCTCCACAAATAATGCAACCAAAGTTTTACATTTTGAACAGCCCTTCTACGTACACTCCATCTTCTCTCTCTTGGTTCCAAGTTTTCTCTTCGTTCCCCATTAGGCCAATTCCGTTGTTATTTAAAAAAAAGAAAAAAAGAAAAAGACTTCCCAGTTATGGTCAGGAACTACGATGGAAGCTTCCCCCTCCGCCGCTCGGCAAACTACAGAGAGGATGGAGTGTTCTAGGAGCAGTACAGAGTCTCAGGTGATTCATGAGGACTGCGCGGTCCTCCCATGAATCTGGTTGCTAACATTTCTATTATATTGTGACAATGACTCCCGACTGTTATCTCTGTGAGAAATGGGGGGAGTAAATTCTTAATAAAAGACACCAGGTACAAAGCAACATTTTACTTTTGTTGTGATAAAAAAAAAAAAAAAGTCACATTTTACAGATAAAATGTAGAACCCTGAAATACTGACACATTCTCTTATCGTGCACAATGCTGAGGTTCTCTTACGATTCACTTTAAAACTGCAATTAAAAATGTACAAAAAAGAAAAGAAAAAAAAATCAACCCACAAAGCTTCTAAAAAAGGAACCCGCAGGCACTTCCTCTTGTGGAATGTTTAAAAAGTTAGCCTACTAAAGAAAACAGTCGACTTCTTGTGAAGGTTTTGGAGAAATATGTATCAGTTCGTTTTATTTGGGTATTCAATAATATCCTTGGTGATAATGCTGACTCCATGGCTTCTGACCCCAGAATTGCTGTAAGAGAAAATTTTTTTTTTAAAGAAAAAACATCAATAAGCCACTCAAACTGCTTTTAGGAAATGACAATCTAATTCAGAGTAATTGCTGGAAACAAATTTAGACCTGTCATACCTCTGATTTCTATCAAACCAGATTTAGTTAGTATTAATATCCCATTATTATCAATAAACACATTACAAAAGAAAACACATCATGACTTGGTTAGTTTATACAATTAAAGCTAACAATAAAAAGAACCGTACGTATTAAAGAATATTACTTTATTAAAACAGTAAGTTACAGCCATCTCCACCTATATTCAAACCTCGCCCTGTAACGATTATAAAAACGCTCCAATCCCTGCGCAAGGGTTTCAAGACTGACTCTTACGATGAACTTAAGGCACAATGAATGTACGTAGCACATAAGAAGTTACTTACACCCTGCTGCCACTGGTTGTAGCCCTGAGATTGGTTTTTGTAGCCACGATTGTTTCCTCGTCCTCTGAAGTTCCGGGGGGGGCGCCCCCAGGCAGGGAGAAAAAAAAAATCCTTGAAAACTCAAACTCCAGAGCACAGGTCTGTGCTGTACACAGGAGCCAGCAGCACAGGACAGGCCTCACCTCTAGCAACTCAACCCTGGGCGCCCTGTGCTGTTTGCTCTCGGTGTTTAATTTATTCATTTAAGACATCCTTGGACGTGCTGCGGGTTCATGCGTGAACACCAAACTTAGGCGGCCCTCGTTCTACCATCCCTGGTGTTCCTGCACCACCGCACTCAGACCTAATGGCCTCACTGAGGCTGTGACATGGCTTTACAACTTTCCCAACTCCATTATCCGAATCATTGGGGCGGGGGGGGGGGCAGGACCTGGTTGTAGTTCCCTCTGTTGGGCATCCCGCCTCTGCTGTAGTTCCCTCTGTTCGAGTAACCGCCTCGGCTGGGGAACACGGGGCCGCGAGGGTACGGGTAGCCGATGCCGCCACTGCCGCCACCGCCACCGCCTCGCTGCGGCATGTTGCCCCTCCTGTTGTAACCACCGCGATTCCCAGGAGCTGCAGACAAGACACGTTGGCTTTAGCAACCTTGCACTTCCTTTCCACAGGACCCTACTCTTGCAGACTGGTCCTCTACTGTAGAGAAAAGTAACTTCTAAAACCAACAGGGGCGCCTGTCTGGCTCGGTCGGGTAGGCATCCGACTCTTGATTTTGGCTCAGGCCCTGATCACAAGGTCTGTGGGATCGAGCCCTGCATCAGGCTCTGTGCCGACAGCGCGGAGCCTCCTTAGGATTCGCGGGGGGGGGGCGGGGGCGCAGTCACACACGCGCTCTCAAAATAACGTTTAAAGAAAAAGACACGACGTTTAACACCTAACAAGGCGTGCTTAGGATCACATCATGGCATTTGAAGCTAGTTACTAGGGCAGCAGAGTCCAGGGAGGTCAACTGTCCTGTGTTAAATTCAGCTGACCACCACCCAGCCCCCAAACTTAGAAGATGGTCATCACTCGTTCCAACCTCCAACCAAGTGAAACTCAAAAACAAACTCACCTCCTCCTCTGAAACTCCCGCCGCGCATGTTGAACCCGCCACGTCCTCTGTGGCCGCCGCCTCTGTTGAACTGGTTCTTGCCACTCTTATTTTTATTGCTCTTCTTGGAGCCGGTGTTCTGTTTCTTTTCCGGCGGCAGCGCCTTTTTGCTCTCCTCCTTATACTGCTCCAGAAGTTTTTGGGCTTCCTCCTTCTGCAGCTCAACATAGGTGATTTCATCAAAGCACTCGGCCACCTCTGGCAGCGTGAAGTTTCCTACAAGGAATAGGGTCAGATTAGCCCCAGACCACAGTCCTAAAGCCTGCTTTCATCCTTTCAAACCACGCTTTGCCATCTGCTCGGTGTACGAGCGTTTCCCTAAAGAGAGAAATAAACCCCCCACACACACTCCCTTAACAAAGAGCGAAGGTAACTCAGGAACCGGCATCACCGGCAAACGTTCACACGAGTTTGCAGGTACAGATCTCGGCAGCTTTAACGTTAATAGAATTAAATTCATACCTTTCATTTTGAGGACAGCGTGTTCTGGTAGGTCTTTCCCCTCTACTTCAGCTTTCTTCTGTGTTCTTTGCTTATAGTCTTCATCTTTTGGGCAAACTACGACAGCTTTTCGCTGGAAGCCTGCAAACAGGCACATTTTTCTCCTCTGGGCAGCAGCAGACACGTTGGTCTTTAAAACAAAGTTCATAAACCCAAATGTTAGCTCCACGCCAAACCCAATCATCAATTCCTTTTGTTAATAACCTCAAGGCTGCAGCTCACCTGATCCAGAATGAAATTTCGCTTCTTACGGGCAGCAATCTCAATAAACTTTCCGAGACACTGTGGAGCCCTCTGCAAGAGCGTGTTCAGTTTTCCAGTATCAGCCATCTGTTTCTTAAAACCTGCCACCTGTTTTAAAAGTTCAACAGTTCCTTTGAACTTGTGAATAAAGCTCAATTTTTTTTTTAATATCAGCTTAGATCTACATGGAAACCAGACAATGCAAAGTTTAAATACTGCCTTTCCTTATCATCACTACAAAAAAGGTCATTTTATCATGTAAGCAAGATCCTCTGCTCTCCTAAGTTCAGCTACTAAATGTCGATAGTTCAAAGTTTCCTAGAAAAAATAAAGCATCGCCCCTGGAAGGCACTTTACCTTCCAGACAGAAGTAGTTTACATCCTTCTATAGTTTAAGTAACCAATGGAACTTTGCCCAAGCTCCTATCTCTAAAACACCAACGCAAAATGGATAAAGACAACAGGCAAAAAAGTTTTAACGCCTTCTGGTCTTTTTAAAGTGCTGAGATCACACCCTCAGTATTTTTCTTACCATCATTTTATCCATTATGGTGTTTGTTCCGAGAATGTTGTATTTACCAGGATTTTCTGCCGCATGTTTAGTAACCCAGGTGGTTTTCCCAGCTCCAGGCAAGCCAATCATCATAACAACCTACCATGGAAAAAAAATGTTTCACTTAGTAGAGCCATCTAAAAATTCCTGAAGTTATTTTGTGAAGTGCACAAAAACCCAGTTTCAATTTGTAAATTTTCGTTGCCCTAAAACAAGGGAATTTTTGGAAAACTTAATATTCTACATCAAAAAACACAGCTACAGCTGATGCCAACAGCCGTGCCACAAAGCACATGAAACAGAACAATCATCCAGATCTTCTGAATGTCATTCTTGCCAAACAAAACTAACCTTCAAATGCTTTTAAAAAAATCCACTTACTTCACAATCTTTCTTCTCTTCAGGCCCCTTTGGTCCTCTAACTCGATCCTCTAAGGGGACATTCTGGATAAAAGTATAATCTTCTGGTATTGGAAAATATGGCTTTTCCTTCTGACCAAAATTAAATTCAACCGCACAGTTGTGGCAGAGAACATGCGGGAAGAGTGGCCTTCCAGCAAGAATTTCCTTACTGACTTTGAAGGCAATGCCAAGATCTTGCCCGTTCTTTGCATAGGAGAGTTCTACTTCATCGCTTTCAAAGTTCTGTTAAATTGGGAAAAAAATTAAGATTTTAACCTGCTTCCTTTAAACATGCTTTAAAAAACCCTCAAAGTTCAAGTTGAGTGAAGCTTACCCTCTGGAAAACAGATTTAGGTTAAACGTTAGGAGCTTTAGAATAGTTATAAACAATGAGACACACACATCTAGAAGCAGAAACAATACTGCCTTCAGTAAAATACACTAGATTTTTCAGGTCCAGTTCACGTTAAGTAGTTTTTAGTCAAAATGGGTTAGTAATGAAGGCCAATGTTGATAAACCTTTGTAAAAAAAAAAAAAATCCCCAGCTAGTAATTGCTCACTTATATATAGAAACTTAGTTGACTTACAGCAAAACATGTTATCACATCATTTTCATCAAATTTCTCTCCATAATCTTCAGTCTCACAGTTGCAGGTTTTTATTCCTTTAAGAGAATACCCATAAGAGAATTCTTCTTCACCTAAGAAAATAATGAACTTTCGTGAAATCGATTGTTCAAAACAGTCCCATACCCACATATTTTAACATTCAGGATAGAGGACAACAATATAAATGAGTACCTAACCTAACATTCTTCCACTCATGCTGTATCTAAAACATAGACAAGTAATGAGAGCTACAAGGCTTATATAACTATTTGAAAAACTGCACACCACAGGATAATGCTTTTCCTAACCACTGGTCATAAAACAAGTAACCATCCTACTACACATGCTAATAGCATTCATCTCTAAAATACTAATAAAATAGATTAAAAACAAACAAGACAGAATTAGAATACTTCTAGTCTCACTACTGAAATCAGACCCTGAACACTCACGAGGACAGTACTCTAATGGAAACTTTACCAAGCAACATTCCACTTGTGGTTAGTGACCAGCCAATCCGAACTTCATGTATGTCAATATCTTTTGTATACAAATGCCTTACTGGGATCTTCTCTGTAACCTGAAAGTCAAATCATAAATGATTACAATGAAGATAAACCCTTGAACTCTAGCTTCATTTCTTCTGGGCCATGGGCTAATTCTTCTCTGGCTACTAATACAAAGACACTCATTCTACCCTGTCATCTCCCCCCTCCCCCATAAGAACTTTACAAATTGACAGAACTTCTAACTTGGAATTGAAAAGGTTGAAGTTAAGTACTTGGTTGGATCACATTTAAAAGAACAGATAATGTTTAAAAATTACATATTCCTGACTCGAAACCCGATGAAAGTATACGCTCAACATGCTTTGCTCTGGGACAAAACGAGAAACCCAACAGTTATTTTTAAACCCTTGGTGGGCCTTTCAAGTGCTTGATAAAAAAGGAGCACCCTAAAGAAAAACAGACTGGCTCAATAACAAATTCTGATTGTAACAAATATGGTTAACGGTTATAAAACAAAGGTCTTCCAAGCCCCTCTTCCAGTCCACAGAAACTTCCAAAGAAAGAGCCCCCACTGACACTGAATAGTGTCCAGCAACTGGAAATTCACTTGTTTAAAAAAAAAAAAAAAAAAAAAAAAAACCAAAGTCACAAAACTACATTTACCTTCATCTCAAAACAGACTTTGCCTTTGGACACACCATAAGATGCCCTTCCTCCGGCCCAAAGAAAAGCAAAACTCTCCATAGTAAGGGAAGAAGCACTGAGGCGGTCTCTTGATATTTTAAAATGTAGATCACAATTATCTGTAATTATATCAAATACCATATTATTTCTTTTGACATCCAACGTGAATACAGCTGCTACGTAGGCAAAACCTGGTGATTACATTCTTGCGTATTTCCTAATGCTTCACGGACACTGCTTCTACAAACCATGCTGCTGTTCTGACCTTCCGTTTAAGCCCCACCCCCACACCAAGTCACTCTCACCAAATTACCAACTAAAGCGTAAACAGCCTCCAAAACTAAAACAGCCAGGTTTAACGTGTATTTTAAGTATATAAAATAATCAAGACAATGGGACATGGATACATACCTGCTCTGCTCTTTACCTTGATTTAGAGGCAAGCAGTAGAGGATAGCAGGAAATCAAAGTGAAGTATGCCACAACCAGGGAGAATTTACCCGTGCCACAATAAAACTGAAGGTAGGCCATGATATTTTAAAATACAGGAATATGAGCCGTTGATCCTGCACTTTGTAATTTTAAAACACCAGGGGCTCTAGATCCTAAATGCTTTCTAAAACTTGTGAAGGCAGCCTCAACCCTACAAAGTGCAAACCTGGTTGTCTAACACTGTTCATATTACAGCATTTTAAGGTCCCTTTTCCCCAGGCTTGCCGGTTAGTCAATAACAATGGGGGATTATCCACTTCCCGGATTACTCAAATCCAAAAGGTCTTTAACTTAGCTACCTTTGGGTCACTGGCTCATTTCGTATGCACCTTCTTGGAGTTCCCCCCATGAGAGCTAAAGTTAAAAAACTGTTTTCTTCAACAGTTTTTATTGACGAAAGGAAATTAAACCTAGTTTGGAATTCTCCTTAAATAAGCTTTGCTCTCAAAAGATTCCGGGTCGCTGATAGAATTTTTGGCTCAAACTGTGCTGCTTGTACCCAATGTAAGTAGCAAATTAAGGAGCTGATATTCCTCAGTAATGAATTAAAAGCCTACTCTGATAGTAGCGTTACTTCTTGAATCACTGCTTCACTGTCCTACCCATGCCCGCCCAGTTTGTATTTAAGCAACCGAACTGTATTTAGAACTTTCAAAGAAACTACTTTTCCGTGTGTGTTTTCTCTTTTAAAAGACTCCCTTAGCTCAACTACCTGTAAAGGACATTTAGTAAGAAATCCAGGGTCAATGTTGACATCCTCACAAACCTGATTAAAATCAAATTCGTATTGGAAAACACGGGAATCTACTACACTTTAACTGCCTGGATCTACAGGGCAGGTTCACACCTTACCGCTTACTTTTCAAGCAATTGTTTCTACCTTCTGTTCTTTCTATCCAAGTGAAAGAACTGTGCATTCTGATCGAATGTTAAACCAACAAAACGTTGTTGTTACAAAATAAAGTCACACCCGTGACAGCCAAGGCCCATCTAGAGGTCTGCAATCCTCCTCATACTCAATTGCAACCCAACTTGGGTAAAGGAGCAGTATTTACAGCGCTGCCATTGACACCATTCGCTGCTGAAGAAAGCTAGTAGCCCCGTGATAGCCCACTGCTGCTGCCCCAGGTCTTTGGAAGAAATCAACTTATGTTAAAGCAGCAGCTACTGAACTGGAATTGAGAACAAAAGAGCAGTTATTGAAAAAGTAATATTACAATCTTTTAGAATAGGGAATACACTTGCGTGCTAATGGGAAAAGCCATTCATTACATATTTCACTAGCCCAAAGAGCTCCCTTGCTAGAATTCTACCCCAAAAAGGGAAATTATCGTAGGAGCCTACAAGTTACAGATAGTCTTACAAGTTTCCATTAGCTAACTAAAATTTAAAAAACTGGCATTAATTTTACATTCCTACAAATGAAAACTTTCGAGTCATATAAAAAAATATAACCAAATTGCCGAAGCCTGGAAAATTATCAATACGACACAACCGATGCTGTACTAAACATTTAGCTACCGAAATCTGAATACAAGCCATCACCACCTTCCTTTTAACAGAAACGGTTTAGGCTAAGTTTTATGCGTTCAGTGCACTGCGTTGTTTTCTAACACTCTCGGACCCAAACCGCCACACTGAGAAACTAGGGGAGTAGACGGGAGAAACCGCTTCACTTACAAGTATCAAGACAAACCACTGTGTCATCGAAGTGCTCATCTTCCTCTTCAACAGGTGGCTGGGGAGATTTGGCTCTGAAAGACAGAATTGTCTCCTGATTCAGCTTGTCCTACCCAAGACCGAACGGGTAACGAGTAGAACTAGATGGGCATCCTCTACCTGCTATACTTGTTCTCTTCAATGTACTCAAAATATCCACGGCCATGATCTTCTCGAGGTCTTTTCACACCTCTCTTTTTATCTCCGCCTTTCTGCTCTGTTTTGCCGTCTCCTATAACACACAACACCCCCGCGTAAGGGGCCAAGCCGCGACACGGCGGAAAAGAAAAACCCCCTTCCTGTTCAAAGTCGCAAAAAGCTCGACTTTCCCGTTCTTTTCCGGGAGGGTTTTCAATCGACGAATCCAACGCGAACCCAAAGAACAATCAGCTCGGAACCGGACTGCAGTTAGTGACGCAGTCCAAAACCATCGCTAATTTTGCCACTCTACGCGAAGATTCGAGAAAGCTCCTGCAGGCTAGCGCGGCACAGGCCCCGAGCCCACGTGTATCCCAAAGAGAGTTCAGGAAGGGGGGAGGGGCCGGGCCGGCCCGCGCGCCCTCCCCTCCCCTCCCCTCCCCCACCCGGGCCCGCGTTCCCCGCGGCCGCATTGTACTGATCTTCCGCCCCGCTCTCCCCGCCCGGCCCCTCCCGCCGGAAGTGACGTCACGCCGAGACCCTGCGCTCCTTGCACAATACCGCGGCCCAGCGCCGCCAAAGCGCGCCCGCCCCGGGCCCTCGGGCCTCTCCCCTCCCCCCGAGACATGTGCCCGCACCGCGCGCACGCAGCGCGGCGGCGCCACCGCGGGCCGACGGGGCTCCCGCCCGCCGCTCCTCCCCCCGCCAGCGGCAGCTGCAGCTTCTCCCCCC